GTATGTATTGGCAGGCGCTTTTGGGCACTACTGCGGCTATTCATTGGCGGCTGCCAAAGATGCGGTGGCCAGGGGCATTGCAGAGTATGATGCCTTGTTGCCTCACAACAGGGATTCCGTGTCGGCGTCCCTGCTGGAACATGATGCTGTGGTAGCGATGCAGTTGAGGCATTTTGCCGTGACCGAGGACAAGCCGCTTCATGATTACCCCGATGCGTTTATTGCTATCCGTGCTCGTGCATTTGCGCTTTTGACTGAAAGACACACTGAAGGTGAACATGCGCGTGTCAAGTTTCATGCGCAGCGTGGTTTCAGGTTTGCAGGCCCAGTTGTTGCAGCTGCCCGCAAGCGATGGGCAGAAGTGCAGGCCATGATTCGGGACCATTTGCATTGGTTGGCAGAGCACTGGCATACCAAGACTTTGTTTGTCACCCTCCTGCAACACATGCTGCCACAGGAAGAGGTTCATGCTATGACTTTTGCGCAGCGTTGTCAACGTGTGTATGCGTGCCACCCCAAAGACCACTTCGCTGATATGAGCAAATGGGAGAAAGAAGCTGATGCATTTCAGAAAACAGTTAAGAAAGTGCAGCTGTCCCTGGAAAAATCTTTCAAGGTCCTGGCTGATGAGGCAATGCAAATGGTTTTCTTCATCAAGCATTTTCTACCGAATGGCACTTTTGCGTCCGTACCTGCAAGTCTTTGGCGCGCTGGTACTTTGCCTTCCCATGCAGAAGGGCCAGATGTCCCGTCTGCAAGTGTCCTGGAGAAGTGCCTCCTGTCTCCCAAGTTGCCTGAGTTGCATGCTCTGCAGGAGCACGTGTTTTTCTCGGTGGTTGATGCTCACCCCGAAGCTAAAGTGGTTGTGAAAACAAGGAAGACAAGGCAACCTTCAACTGTGCTTTGCGTTTCGTTTTTCCCACAGGTAGCGTGGGAGGGAGGTGGGGTGAAACTTACCGTTGAAGCTAGAGAGGCAGTGTTTTTGGATGTGTCGGCCTGGGTCTTGCCAGCGGAGTTCGAGACCTTTTGCCGAGATGCTGTGGTGTGGAGGGCCAGCTGTTCCGAACTGCAAGTGAACCTGAATCCTGCCTTGACATCTTCCGAGGTCCCCTTGACATTGCCGGACTTTTTTGGCGACGATGACCCCCTGGAATCATTGTTGCTTTACGATGCATCTGAAGAGAGAGCCATTGAATTTTACCAGGGGAAAAAACATGAAACTGGGTTGAGCGTGGACATTGCAGGGCGCCCCATAACCCATGACCAGCAATCTACCTTGATGTCGCTTGTTGACAGGAGAGCCTTTGGGGCTGAAAGTGCTTGTGGTGTGTGGGACATGTCGTTCTACAGCAGCCAAGCCATCCAGTCACTGGAAGCGTTGGGGCTGATCAAAAAAGAAACTGATGAGCTGGGCGATGACCATTGGTGGCTTGCTGATGCCGGCCAAATCTTTCCAGGCATGAGGCTGACTGAGCCTGCGTGTTTGCTGGAGGAGTTCCATTCTCCTGGCTGCGCGCGGCAGAGGTCACGTCGTTCATGTAAGCTTGCTTTTGTTTTGGCTTTGTTGCAGGATGGTTGGTCAATGAAGGGATGGAAGGACAACCTCATTTTCTTTCATAAAGGCAGGAAAAAGATTTTGTGCGATCAGCTTTGGAAGAGGCCCGAGGCCTACTTCAAGGCATTGCTGGTGCATGAAATTTTGTTTGAGAGGCCAGGAGGGGCTGACAGAATTCACCATTTGGCGCCAGCGTCCTACTACAATGATTTCTTGTTGGCTGAAGACACATCTGTTTTCAAAAAAATGACAGGCGAGGAGTGCCTCAACTACAACAAGACCAAGAAAGCTCGCGCTAAAGCGAAGTCTGGAGGGCGTGGCAAGGCCACTTCTTCCAGAGCAGATGTCCTCGCCGATGAGGATATGCTTCCTTTAGATGATGTGGAGCGTTCACTTTTGCAAATTCCTGAGGGTGATTTGCAACTTCAAAGTGTTGGTTGCAAGGAGCCTACCATGAAGGATGTTGTTGTCCACTATGACCGCTTCACCCATGCCAGTGGAAATCTGCGTGCTTTCACAGCTTGCGTCCACCACCGGGCCTGTCGCCGGTATGTTTTTGTGAAGAACCATGGAGACCGACCAACAGCTGAGGCATGGCTCTTTGCATGGAACGCACTAGGGGCAAGATGCGGTTCCCCTGAGGAGCACAAATCCACTGACCCCACTGAAATGGAAGTAGCCAAGATGAAACGTTTGCAGAACCTCTTTTGAAACGAGGGGCCAGCAAAGCTGATTCCCTCAGACTTTCGAGCTTCACCAACATGGTGGCCAAAGAAAAACAATTTACATTGTTTCTGTTTAACTGTTTGTTGATACCAAAAGATTTTTAGAATAAGGGTTAGGGCGTGGCAGTGGCAGGAAATGTTGAATGTTTTTTTATCGCGCGTGTGGTCACAACTACTTCTAGACGGACATTTGTTTGAACATTGTTTTTGTGCTCAAGCTGCCGGGTGTTGCGTGGAGTTGTTTGGGTCGCAGCGCCCTTAGCACTTCGAGGATGCCGAGCAGACAAGAGGACGAATGGTTTTGGGGGCAGGGGGTCATGTTTGGGGCTCAGAGGTTTTCAGTTTTCACAAGAAACAAATAAAACTGTATCAGAGGGCAAGCACTATTGTTGAAATCAATAGAACTAATGTTTTCAATTCCAAAAGCAAGGGCGACTGCGAAGGCCCAACCACCAAGGGTGGCGGCCTAGCAGTCCAACCCAAGCGTCGAGGGCGGTGCTTGCGCCCAACCCTGAGCAACAAGGCGATTGTGACAAGCCCAACCAGCCATGAGGCTGGCGGCTGCACCTTCCAACCTTGTTGACCTAGGGCGGCAAAAGCATCCAACCCTGGCGCGGCAAACATAGTTCTTAGTACTTAGATGCTAGTTTTTTTCTGCACTGTTTCTCGCGCGCGTGTGCTGTCTGCAGGACAAAGAGCAGGGAAGCGCCATGCCTCCTGCAGTCAAAGGTGAGCTCAGCTCTTCTGAGGCTGAGGAGTCTTCAGAAGAAGAGCAGCCACCTCAGAAGGATGCTGTACAAAGCTCAGAGAGCCCCACCAGAGTCTTGGGGCACCCTACACCTCCAAAGCGGCGGAAGAAGTCTCGTGGCAAGTCCAAGTCCAAGCCGAGGGAGCGTAGCCGCAAGTCTGGGAAAGAAACACGTCACACTCGTCATCGCAGCCGCAGCCGCCGTCGGAGGCGCAAGTCTAGTCCGAACCACAGGCCCAGGCGTAACCGATCTCCAGGCCCTTCAGGTTTGAGGCTTACGCCTGCACCTGTTCGCCCTCGTGCTCAGTCTCCAGGTCATGATGCTGCTTCTGGTGAGACCGGGGAACTTCGATGCCGCTTGTGTGACAAGACCTTTGAGAAGCACATTGGGGACTATGGGTTGTCGCAGCATTATTGGAGCAAGCATCCCAACAGCACAGAAGCTGCTGAGCGGAGCATATTCTACCGGCAGAAGTCCAAGGGCGAAGGAAGGAAAGGGAAATCATTGCCTGCGACTTTGCAAGGACGGCGAATGCCAGAAGATCGTGACCAGAGTCATCGATCTAAGTCCTGTGGCCATGTTGTTCGGGATTTTTCTCATTTGCCACAACCACCAGCCATGCCAAAGGCGGTCAAGGTTGAACCGGTTGAGGCAAACGTGCCCAAGAGTGGGGCTGGAGATGTCCATGACCAGAAGCCACCACCTGTTGAGCGCCGTGCTGAGCCTGTGCGTGTTGAATCAGAGTTGGGATCCGAGCGCCCTACCCCAGCTGCTGGTGTTGGTGCGGCCAGTGAGGCAGAGCGCCATGCTACTGTCCGAGCGCTGCTTCAAACCACGAACATTCTACTTCGAGGCAAGAGCTCTGCAGACCTCACCGAGTGAAGCCGGAACCTTTTTGAGACTGTCAGCCCGTGCTTGCAGAAGAAAGGCAAGCGTTTGTCATGTGACTGTTTATGAGCGGTTCTTTTAAGAGAGAGATGTGTTGGCAAGAGAAAATCCTAAGACATTGTCAATTTCTATGTGTTTGGTGAATTTTGAGGCGAATCTCTGTGAACATGTCCAGAAAACATTCATTAAGTCATGGTTTGTCACTTTATCAGGGATATTGTCTATCATTGCGCAAGTTTTTCTCCTTGTTGAACTATGCTTTTGAACTGTGCTGCAACTGTCTCGCAAGTGTCTCGCAAGTGTCTCGCAATTGTCTCGCAAGTGTCTCGCAAGTGTCTCGCAAGTGTCTCGCAAGTGTCTCGCAAGTGTCTCGCAGTGTCTCGCAAGTGTCTCGCAAGTGTCTCGCAGTGTCTTGCAAGTGTCTCGCAAGTGTCCTGCGGTTGTCTCGCCCTGTTTCTTGCTCTCTTCAGCCATCCAGACTCTTGCCATCCAAATCATTGTAGTGTATTTTTGTTTTGTTTTTGAGTTTCACTGCCTTCCACCCTTTATCGTGTGGTCTATGGATATCTCCCGCTTGGTTAGCCACCCTACTTGTCTTAAGAAGTGTCCCGGGTTCCAAAACAGAGGCATTACAAACAACAAGCAAGCGCGAATGGCTTCAACACTTGGTCACTCACTGGCCGTGGCCAATCGCGTTGTAATTATTCCATCCAACTGCTCTCATGTAGCCCCAGACCGACACAGCAAACGCTCCTTGCGTTCGCCGCCTGGTTGTGAGTCGTGAATCCAAATACGGTCTTTTACATTTTTTGTTTCTTTTACCGTAAATGTTTTTAGCGATGGAATGTTTAAAGCAAAAAGCGAGTTAGCGAGTTGTTCAAGTTTGTTGACTTTGCTGCCTTTTGAACCAAAAAGAAAGCAGGGAGAGCGTGTTTGTATGATTCAAGCCATCGTTTGTCAAGACAGCTAGAGCCCAGAGAACCTTGGTCCAACACGTTCGTTTTCATAAACGCGTTTGCTTCTTGCCTTGTTTTTTTGGGACACAGACCCGTGTGGAACACGCGGCTCTGGAAACTACAAGCCATGGTGCTGGGCTGCCAGGAAGCTCTCCACAGGGCAGGCCGTGTCCTGAGGTACTTAGGCCGCACCCCCTTGGTTGCAGAGCCTTGTTGCGGAATTGGTGGATTGAGGAGTTGGGCTGCAGCTTCTGGCGTCCCATACCATGCCTGCTTCGCCCATGATTTCGACTCTGAGATCGAAGAGTTCTACGTTTCCCTCCAGAAGAGTGGCGTTGAAGGGTTGGGTGGTGTGGCGTGTGGACCCGTCTTGGGAGACATTTCTTTGGTGTCCAGTGAAGACCTTCCTCAGTGTGAAGCGCTTGTGTCTGGGCCGCCGTGCCAACCTTACGCGCCCAATGGGCGTGGTGAGGGGTTCAAAGACCCCCGCAGTGAAATCTTTGAGATCGTTGTCAAGTGGGTGATCCACATGGCTTGGGCAGGTTCGCTGGTTTGCTTCTTGCTTGAGAACAGCGTGGCTATTGCTTCTCATGATTTTTTTTGGAAGTTGGTTGACCAAATTTGCTTGAGCTGTCCCTTTTTTTTGGTCGAGGTTGTGGAGCAAGACTTGAAATGTGTCCTCCCCCACAGCAGGCCCAGGCTGTGGTTGAGGGGCCTCAGGCGTGATTGTTTGGTTGGAAGCTGTTTGCCGCCGCCGAAGAGCGTGTCAGAAGTGAGCCGCTTGCAGCTCAAACTCTCAGATTTCCTACAGCCAGGTCTGCCAAATGTAAGCCCTCAAAGCCTGACTCAAACAATGCAGGCTAATTTGGCCCTGTACAAGGCCTTGGCCTTGGATGCTATGGCGAAAGGAGAAGCGACTGCAGAAGTCATGGCCGTTGAACTTGACCGCAATCCTCTTCGACAGTATGGTGGTGCAGTTTGCTGGGATTCAATCCCAAGCCTACGCTGTGGAGGGCCCAAGATTTTCCTCGTCAGCTTGCCTGATTTGTCTGCAAATCCCTCGTGCTGGGAAAAGCAGAAGTACCACCGATTCCTGTCCATCGACGAGCGCTTCTTGTTGCAAGGGCATGGTGCCGAGTTGAGCGAGCATTTTCGTACTCAAAGTGCAGCGATGGCAGCTTCAGGGAATGCTTTCAATGTGCTCCAGGTTGCCTTGATGTTGTCTCCACTCTTGGAAGCTGCAACTACCGCAGGGGTGTTGACAAAGGAAGGTGTGGAGAAATTGTCTACCACCCAACTTGCACAGTTGATTCCTAGTGGTGGTCCGCAAGAACGCCCAAAGTTGCAGCGCTTGTCGCCTCAGGAGACAGCAACACAAGGGCAGAAGCGGAAGAGAGTGCGGTGCTAGTTTGACTGTGCCATGTTTGGCTTGCCCCTTACCGTGTCCAAAGTCCAATTCACACACGAGCTCTGGCCCGTGCTGTGGTTTTTTTGCAAGCTCGTAGAAGCAGTGTCCTGCTGACTGCTGACAGCTGAGAACCTTCAACTCGGCAAATTCACCTTTGACTCAGACGAATCAAGCAAGTGAGAAAAACCAATGGGGAGTAGTAGGGAGTAGACACCGTGCTTCAGACAAGATGCTCTGTTTTTCTAACAGGTTCCGAGAGGCCCTCTGGAGGTTTGTGCTTTGAAGTGTCAGTTGCTTTGACTCCAACCCCCTTACTAACCTTTGCCAGTCACCCGGCCGTGTGATAAGCAGCTTTTTTGTTCAGTGCTTTCAATACAGACTCACTTAGCTGACTTGCCCTTGAAGATGGCCCGCAGCAAGGCAGCCAAGCAAGTCAAGGACGCTGCAAAGGGCGCAGAACCTGCAAACGCTGCAGGTCCTGCAAACCCTGAGGGTCAGACCTTGACTGAAGGTGGAGTGAACTTGAACTGCCAAAAGTGTGCCCAGCCTACCACTTTGCGGGAGTCAATCCCAAATGGTCGGAATGAGCTCCGGCGAAACTGTTTGGATTGCGTGTCCACTGACAAGTGGTTGTTGCGGGCTTCCAAGAAGCCTTCAGGAGTGGAGTCCGATCAGCAGAAAGAACGCAGAGAGAAAGCAGAAGCCACAAAGTCTGCGTTGACAAAGATGAGCCCACAGGAGAAGAGTGCTTGGTACCAGAAACAAAAAGATGAGCGCAAGCAACAAGAGCGAGGTTGCAAGCGAACTTTCTCGACCGGAGTTGGCTTCGTTGTGGACGAGGAAAAGCAGAAGTTCGCAGAGCACGAGCTTGATGTCTTCGAGACATCTGAAATGTGGTGTGGCCGCATGATGACCTTGAAGAAATTCGACACACTGGAAGCTGCCGAGGCAGCTTTCAAGTTGGAATGCAAGAAGTCTGGCGCCAAGACCAAGGTGAAGCGGGGCGAGACCTTGTTGGCTTCTTTCCAAGGCGTCCAGGCCAAAGCTGGCTCCTCGCATTCTCTCAGCCATGGCGTGCGGCAGCGAGCAGATCTGACAGAGGAAGCTGACTTGCAAGACTTCAAAGATGAAGTCAAGTCAAAGGCGGAGAAGGCTACTTGGCGTTTGGAATCTGACCGGCAAGCATTCCTGGAAGGAACGCTCCAAGGCCACACTCCGTTGCTCAATGTGGCCCAGGACATGGCCAAGGCCAAGGCCATTGAAGCAGAAATGGAATCCCAGTGGATGCAGACCTTGGAAGCCACTGCTGCCCAAAAGAAGGAGGAGAACAAGAAGCCGACCAACCCTGTCAAGAGTGTTGGCGTGGAAGCGATGGGTGTGGAGGCAGCAATCCAGAGAAGCGTCCAAAACATGAATGATGCAGTGTCCAGGCAGAAGGCGCTGCAAGAGCAAGCGAAAGAAGACTCAAACCTTCTTGAAACTGAGATGTTGCGAGAGGAGGCGCGAGAGTTTCAGACCAAGGCAGATGGTTTCTTGCCTCTCATTCTTGAGGAAATTGCCACCAAGGAGAAGGATTGGAAGCAGCAGTTGACTGCAAGCTTGGAGGCCAAGAGTGCGCAAGACCTCCATGACTTGTGTTTGGAGATTGCGAAGGGGTTGAAGGACTGGCTGGCAAATTCTACATCCTTGAAGAGTTTCAGGGATATTGTCAAAGAGTGGCGTTCTTGGTTGGCAAAGTGCAAAGCTTCCAGCAAAAAGAAGGACAAAGCTGCCACAAAAGCCCAGAGTGCAGCGATGTCAAGTGCAAAGCTTGCCGTTGGCTCGTCTTGGCACAATTTGGGCTTGTGCCGACAGGCGATTGACAAGTTTGCCAATGATGGTTCATTGGATCGGGACTTTGGGATTGCGTGGAGCCTTGAGAAGGATTTGCTCCTTGCCGATCCTTCGCAGGAGATTTGCCCAGTGGTTTTGTCTGAGGGGCAGGCTTCCAGCTACTGCACCGAGATGGCCAATAATGAATACTTTAAGTTTCAAAAGGTTTGGGTCGCCGAGCAAATGAAGAAGCAAGGGGCCAGTTGTTTCCTTTCAGCTGTTGTCACGAAGACTGCAGTGGCCACCAAACTTGGTAGCCTTTGGGGAAAGCTGTGTGGGCCCGAAGCGTTGAGTTTTTTGTCTGGGTGTTCCGACAACATGGTCAAGGAGTTGTGTGTTCCACAATTCTTTCAGCAAGGTGATGGAACATGCCATGCCCACTTGCATGGAGATTTTGGTCTCCCAGATGTTCGCCTGTTGTTTGAGGGGAAAGCCATTCTTGCTGGATTGCCCCTTGCTAAGGTTCCTGGCGAAAGCCTTGCTGAGAAAAGGTCGTGGCTGACTTCAGTGACTTGGGATGTTTTCCACCGGCAAGTGACTTGGTCTGTGAGCCTTGTGCCAGGCAAAGGCGTGGCCATCCCAGGTGACCACTGCTTCCTTTCCTTCTCTCAGGGCGAGTGCCATGGAGGGAGAGTTCATTTGCTGCGTGCCCCTCATGCCAGCCGCACCATGAAGCTGTGCAGTGACCAGGTTGATGACAACGCAGCCTTGCAGAGTCTCAAGACTGGGAGGTTGCTGGATTGCTTGACCAAAGCATTGGCGGTTGAAAAGAGGGGTGCGCCCGACAGTGAGGCTCGCCGCCCCAACCCCAAGCGCGCCAAAGCCAATTCTGCTGATCAGAACGCCTTGGTTCAGATTACTGGGAGTGCTGCTGCAGCCTTGGCCTCTGGGGCAGGTGAAGGGCCGTAGAAAGGGAAAGCGTGCGCAGAGCAGACGAGGAGCTCTGCGTTGCAGCTTGCAAGCAGCGCCTCCTATAGCACCTGCTTTCTGTGAGGCTTTGCGCTCTTTTGCTGTGCCAACTCCCATGGCATGTGGTCTACGCTGAGATGAGGGTAGTAAGCACTTGTTTTCACTGAGTTTCGGCGTGGGTGCTCGTTTTTGGAGCTTGACTTCTGGGAGCTCAGGGAGGGAAGCACTGCAAGCAGAATAGGTTAGTAAAGTGACTGTACGCAATTTGAACTCTTCTGTTTTTCAGCAACGAACCTTTAAACCTTTAAGTAATTTGTTTTTATTTTGTTTTGTTGTTTTGCTTTGCTGTTTGCAGTGCAGGGGAACCTGACAGCCTGGAGGTTTCGCGTAGGTAGGAAGCTTGGCAAGATAGCCTGTGAGACTCACTGACCCTGAGCCAAAGAGAACAAGAGGCTGCTGCCTGTCAAACCCACAGCAAAGGTCCAACCAAAGAGCAGGTACCAAACTGCAGGTTTTAGGTCTTTGCGCTGAACCAGATGTCCTTCCTCTAGGTGATGAAATTGCACACTCACAGCCAACATTCCCGTGTAATAGTTTGACTCTTCTTCCTCTTTGCTGGGTTTTGGCACCAAGAACCCTTTTGATGCGTAACCCACACAGCCTTGATACTTCAAGCCGAAAAAGCCTAAAACCATTGATTCGCGAAGCAACCTTTTCAGGCACAAACGCGCAGTCCAAGACAAAATGCCTCCACCATCACAAGGTTTTTAATTCAGTCCCATCAAGGTTTCCATTGCAGCCTGTGCCAGGGCCAGCGTTTTGTAGCAAAGCCATTTGCAAGCGTGCGTGGTAATATGGGGGCCTTTGAAATAGCTTTGCTTTCGGTGTGCATCCTAACCTTGCTTTGCAGGGAAGTTGTTGTATGCTTGTGTCGCCCGTGGTTCCCAAAAGCAAAGCAAAGGAGCGTGGCAGTTGAAACTGACATGGTTGCCCCCGATTCTGGGCCCGGGCTCAGATCCAGGATCCACAGCCGAAAAAATGAAGTGCCACAGGAGGTGTTTATAGCCACGTCAGGCAGAAGCTACCATGGTGACCACATGTGCCAGCACGTCAGGCACAGGCCCACCAAGTCGTACAGAGCATGCCATACTTGCTTTGGGTGAGGTGAGGCCTTGGCCTTGTTGTGAGATTTGTGAGCCACTTGACAAGCGAAGCTTTGTGCCCAAACTGTGCAACAAGTGCTGATCCATGGGGCTGCGTTGTAATGGGCTCAAACCTTGGGCTAGCTGTCCCAACAGGGCCTTCTAGAGCTGAAGTGTACTCTGATTTTGCTATAACTTGGCAGGGTGGTTCCATCTTCGATCTTTTTGGCCGAAGACTTGGATTGCCAAGAGGAAAAAAGGAAGTGCACGCAGAGTGGGTATGGGATGTTTTCTGGCCATGTTCTGGAAAAGGGAAACGAGAAAGGTGCAACGGTTCTGCCTCTATTTCATGTTTTGTGTTAAGTGCGATTTTTGTGCGTATCTGCAGCGCTGAGACAAGCTTTGGGTTGGGAACACGTGTTCCCAACAATGATCTTCCACCACAAATACTGTTTTCTATAATATTTTTTGCTGGTGTGACCCTGGTTTTCACACGGTGAAGGGGACAGTTGTAAATTTGAGGCTTCCAAATAAAAAGGCTTTTCAGGCTGGTTCAAAACATGTGTTTTTTTGCAATAGTGTGCGGGAGTGCCTTGGCTAGCGCCAAACAGCTGTTTTGCAAGTGAAACAGTGCAGGGTTTCACAAGGGTTCGCAACGACCCTGGAGAAGCCATGACACCTTACACAGGCTAGTTGTTAGCTGAGCAGAGAGAGCGCGCGAAGATATAGGCAATGGCTGCTGCGCGTCACCTGAAGCTACTTGGGCACGTTTTTGTTTTTTTGGGACAGTCGATGAGAAAATGACCAGTATAGTGGTTGGTGAACTACATCAAGTGAAGAAAACGTTACCTGGAGAGCGGTGTGGCTGCCATGCATTTGTGCATTTTGCATAATAGCTTACCTTTTGGTGCTCAAAGTGAGATTGCGCAAGTCTCCATAGAACTTGGGCCAGCTAGCACCAGATCGTAGCCAGGAACATAAAGCAAGTCAACAGCAATGGAGAATGTACTTGCAAGAAGTTTCAACACACCCCATAAGCTTCTCGTAAATATCGTTCACATTATATATCTACAGTGAAGACCTTCACCAGCAGCAGACATAGACACACACACAGACAGGGACTCATACACACACATCACACACAGAGACCCACGCACTGCCTCAACTTACTCGGACACACACACAGACAGAGACTCATACACACACAGACATAGATACACACATACAGAGACCCACACACTGCCTCAACTCACTCGACTTAACACTTCACACTGAACACTTAACAGATAACTCACACTCTGACTTCCTACGTGATGAAAAATGCTTTCGGGCCACACGTCGTCTAGTTAGTTTTCCTAGAATCTTTTTGAACATTTCGAGAGCATATGTTTGAACATTTAGAGTGCGTATGAAAATATATTTACGAAAGGTCGCCTCCGAGGGGATAAATCACCATGTCGAACATTGCATTTTTGTTCCTGCCTCTCGCGTTCTCTTCTCTTCCCGCTGTCCTACCTTTCGTGTCTCCCTCCTCTCAAGTATATATGTATCCCAAATATCCATGTATGGCATATTTGCCTACATTCACTGCTGAAACCACCCCAATATAGGCAAATATGGCATACTTGCAGTGTTTGGGTATATACTGTATATATATACACATACATATATACACACACCTGGTCCTAGGTTCTTCCCCTGAACGCCGTATTGTTTCTCTTTGTTTTCCGCGTTTCTGCGGCATGCAGGGGAAAACGTACGGTTCTGAGGGGGGGCCCACTTGAGCGACCTTTTTTGAACATGAAAACGTTTATATGTGTTTATCAAGGGATGAGTTAATGTCAAACTATAGCTGTGAGTAGGGATTTGCATAGGTGGAGAGGATTGTCTCTCTTTCAAACCTGCTTTGAATTCCAGTTTTGAGTTTCAAACCCTGTTGGGGGCTCAGTCCAAAGCACAAACAAACAATCATCACAGAAGGCTTCATTTCGTAGCCGATGTGGGCATGGCTGGAAGTTCAACTGTTTAAGATGTTTTTGGAGGTTCCACCCTTGAGGAGGAAGAGAAGGAGGAGGAGAAGGAATAAGAGAAAGTACGGGTATGCAGGGTTTGGTAGTAATTTAAGCACATACGGCTGATTAATGTTTACGCAATCTATTTTTTTCCTAAAATAGAGTCTGGAGTAATTTAATGAGTGTGAAGGGCTCGCCCACTCATGATTTTTCTTCGGAATCCGTGCACTTGGATGACCACGAGGTTCTCTCAACGACCCATACAGTGGCAGATGTTGATCGGATCAGGCAGGGAGAACATGTTTTCAATAATTTGTTCATGTCCCGTGTGACGCACTTGCTCCCGTGTGACGCGCATGGCAAACACCTAAAGACGACCTCCCCCAAAAGACGAGCTGGACAGGGTTGAAGTGAAGTGGTGTAATTTTGAGAAGTCAGCTGCCTGGACCATATCGCAGAATCACACCTGCACAGACAGAGTCATTTGGGGATCCGACATCATGTCCAGTCATGGTGAAAGGGGTGTGAGTGCTAGCTGCTAGAGATGTCAAAGTGCAATTCAAGGAACACTCCAGTCGTGCGTTTTGCGTCGCTTTGCACTTAGATCTTTGCTCCGATGAATCCAACGTCATGAGTTCAATATCGTGGCACCCTTACACATTCGATCGCATTCATGTGCCAACTGGGACCGTTGCAGTAGCCCCAGCTAGTCAAACGTTTGACAAGAAACAAGTATTTGATATTGGTTGAGTATTTTTTGTATCATCTACACTGGATGTAGTAAGTCTAATTCGACGATGCTGCTTGTTCACCAATGCTTGCTTAAGTATCCAGTGTTGGGTGTGCAAGACATCATGACAAAACTTCATTCATAAGAGTCATAAGAGTCCAGAAACCAGAAACCAATTCGGTTGGCCATGCAAAAGGTGGCCAGAATCGCTTTTGCAAAGGGTAGGCACTCCGAGGGCTGCAATAAAAACTGGTCGACGGCGGTGGCCGCATCATCCATTGCGTGTTCGTGATCAAACCCTTGAATTTTTGTGCTTGATCAGACCTCACCAACTGGAATTTGTTTGCAAAGCAACACCGTGGTTAACCTTCCCAATTCAGGTCTTCTCGTTCAGAACATGACGCCGGTTCGTTTTCGTGTCCACCCGTGTCGCTCCTTTTCGGGTGGTGAAACGCTGGACCAGGCAAGAGCATGATGTCTCCACCGTTTGCATCACCGACATGGGAATGATGGGGAATCGGCCAGCTTCCCAGGCAGATCAAGTAGAAAGAATGAGACCCAAACGTGGGAGAGTCATTAGTTCAGGTTGGTGAAGAACCCGTTTCCCAATGCGAACATCAGTTTTTTCTCACGTTTTCTCACGTGAAGGACACACACAGACCAGAATTTCAGCTGTGCAGATGTTTTAGGGGACCTGTGCAGTTGGATGTGTATCTTGGATAAACTCATCATTCAGAGTCACAGTGCAAGGATTCTGGCGCAGGTCTACCAAATACTTATTGGAACGACCACTGCAATTTACAAAAGACTAGACGCGAAAAAGACTGTTGTTTCTTCAAGTCCTGAACCAGCCACAGTTAGAGAACAAAGTAAAGTTTCCAAAAAGAAACAAGACCACTTTGAAGCAGGCCAGCTTGGGGTGAAACATAGTTAGCCCCCACCCGAGATGCAATTAATTCAATATGTAGTTAAGTTATGTTGAACATTCCTGAGCAAGAACCTGACAAGAAAAGTCATGTTTTTTTGCATGTCATACAATACTTTCCTGTTGTCAACAAGCTTGGCAGTCATGCTTTCCGAGCAGTTTTTGATTGTCTTTGACCACCGTACTGAAACACCTCATCCGAGCTGTTTCATTCCCGGATGGTTGGAGTTACTGTATCATTGGCCCAGCTGGGTGGGGAAGGTTTCGTGCTCAGCGATTCCGGCCCTGAGGTTTCTGGGTATTGTCACCAGTCGCGACATCGATTTCATTGAGGACGAAGCAGAGAGGGCTGCATTGAAGGTTGAAACAAGCAGCGCTATGGATGTTGAAACTCGTTCAATGGGCTGGAATTGATGTTTTTGGAAACAGATCCAAACAACTCATCATTCTTCATGTTTTATTTCACTCGCTAGGAAGCTCGAGCGGTCGAATCCTAGTAGCCCATGTTGACAGTGCAGTCAGCCGGTTACTGAACCGGCTGCAGAAGGTCGGTCGAGATGTAACAGGGGGCTTCCAACATCTTCCAACCAACAACAGCGCTGGCAATCGACCTTCCTCAAACTGTTCAGATGCGGCAGAATCGAAAAGTGCTTGTCCAAACCAATCTGAAAGGTGAGCAGTGACACGACGAAACACCTCCGCACAAATAGCCAAAATAGCAGAAACCGTAGAGCAGTGACTGCCCACCCATCAGATCAGCAGGATTCTGAAAAAAACTCATAAATTGACGTGGATGTGATTGATGTGAATGAATTACAGTACTTTCTTGAGTTTCGTTTGCTTCGTTGCGTTGAATACGTAGAATAATAATTGTGTAATATAATTGCCTTAGGTCAAGACCTCATCTCCGGTATCGATCATTTTTTGCATATGTTTGCTATCCGAACAACCAATCATCACTCCAAACAGAGATGGATACCATTGACCCCCATGTTGGGGCTTCGTGCTCCTGCTCAAAATATAGTGCTCCGAGATGAGAAGACCCCTGATTGACCCCGCAAATGATGGCTCCATGGGCTTAGTGATTCCTGCTCTCATAGAGCCACGATGAGAAAGACCAGCTATAGCATGTGATTCTGGATTCTTGTTCTGTTCGTTCATGAATGAATCTTGAAAGTATATGTTTATTTTTTTTTGTCTTCTCACAAACAGAACAAGAACAGAATAATTGCAAAACAAACAACACAATGTTTTCCATGTCTCGCTTTCTCCTCTCATTCCTTCGAGCTTGTGGCGCTCAGCTTTGCGGCCGACTAACACTGCTCCAGGATCGCTCCGTGCGACTCTCTGAGGTGATGACACCCAAGGCGGTCTGCGGTTCGGTTCACCGGTGGGGTGACGACTCACCGGTGGGGTGACGACTGGCATGAGCCGGCGGATGGGAGAGGCGGTGATGGTGGGACCCGGTTAAAAAAACACATTGATGGTGGGACCCAAAGCGGAGAGATTTTGGATGGTTTTGGGATGGCTTTGACATGTTGTGATGTTTGAAGTTGATGGATGTGTAGAGGTTAGATATGGCCAAACTATAGATCACACCAGGGTGGGATGGACTAGGTTGAGCAGCTATGATCAACTTGGACTGCCAGCTGCAACTCCCTCCACTATACAGGTTTTAGGCGAGCAGAGGTGGTTTTCATGCTTGCATCCTGAAAAGGGTTCTGTTGGTGTGGGTGGCACTTCGGAGCAGATTCAATGATTCAATGGTTACCCTGGTTATGATGTTTCGACAGACCAGAGGAAGTTCTGTTTGGGGTGTCTTCCGGAATGAGGCGAAATGCCTGACAGCTTGCGAACCCATTTCCTTGGGAGAGGCAAGGTGGTGGGGCGGTGGCGGGGCGGTGGCGTCGCGACATTTGTGGGTTGTGATGAAAGAACTGGACTCTCAGGCTCACCATGCTGCAGGGCTGCAATTTGAAGCAATTAGAAGTTGGATTGGGCTTCTTTGAGGGTGATTGGATTGTCAAGAAAGGAGACGGCTCAACTAATACTATCTAAGCACAGGACCAGCTGGTCCGCTTCTCCAAGCAGGAGCTGCCTTTTTGGATCGCCGAACCCTGATTCGGTCGATTCTTCGACCTATCGCGTTGGACCCTTCGCGCCCGACTCCGCGCCCGACTCCTCGCCAGGCCCTCCAAAAGCTCGTCCAAAGTAAGAAGGGCAAGCTGCCCATCCTGAATGAGGCTCGGTGCCATGGGCATCGGACCAGGTCCGAAGTAATTACGCCACGCTTCATGTGGACTACGATCCATGGACCGCATAGCACATACATTGCATGTAATATTAGTATATAGATGTCAGGTCAAAACCCAGAGCCGTAAGCTTGACCCCCCGCCTAGGAGTCTATTCATGTCCATTCTGTTCTCCCCGTCGCGTCGAACGATATCTCACTCGACTGGTATGCTAAGCATTCTGCATAGCATCCTCCACTCATGTGATTTCACATGAGACCCCAAATTAGGATTCCGCGCTGTCAAAGCTAAATGCCCATGCTTGCAAACGGGCAGTTGAAACACTGGCTAAGATGCGAGCAAATCGGACCTTTTGCTCATGATCAAAGAAAATTTCCGCTCCGTCAATTGTTCCATTCGGGAGGGATTTACCTATACATTTGTTTCTGTGTCTATTGTGACGGCCGGGGATGAACATGTCCTGAGAAAGAGTTCTAAAGGCCGCAACCACCTGCTTGAAGTCAGTCGCCAAGTCACGAAAAGTGTGAAGTGACGGGTCATAGGAGGGTAGGGACCATCCTTGAAGATAGAAAAGGACAGCAAGTTCCATGTACGAAGTAACCGCATCCTCCGCAACACGCCACTTTTGAGCAGCAAAAAAGGAAGCCAGTTGTGTCCAATCATGAGCCCGGTCACACCAAGTTGGTGGGATGTCCACCTGCGACATATCAAAAGATGGAGTCCACTGAAAACATTGGGGCTGAGGATTCCAGTCCCAGTTGGGAAACAAAGCATAGACATCCTCCGACATTTCTTCTTCCGCAAATCGTGCCTCCTGTTTGTCAAGCATCGCAGTACTCTGAAGGCCAGCAATGTCCATGTTTAGACATGTTAGCCAGTCTTGTCTTTTGGTGATGGAATCCTTAAGGAGCCATTCATCTCTCGGGTGTACACTTGTGGCTTCCAGAGCATGGATCTTGGCATGTTTGTCCGCAAAGCGATTGCCAATTATGTGTCGAACTTCCGTTTTGTGGGCATGAGCCATTTCCGGAGTAATGAATTGTTCTGGCAGATGTTCGAACAGGTGCGATGGAATCCACTTCAGGGAAAAGGGGACCGGATGACAAAGATGGATTTCGTTCCATCTTTTCGAGATTGCATGCCACCACGCTAAATGAGACCACGAGTCCTTGGGTTCACCCAAAAGGCAAAGTTCTTGAAACTGATCAACAATTGTCTTGCAATCAGTGAACATCTCTGTGGGCCCTGCACACTTACAAATAGCAAAAACCAAAGCCCAAAGCTCCGTTGTATAGGCCGAAATCTGAAAATGACGGACAGGGCCTCCAAAGAGTTCCTTGGAATGCGAGTTAACAATGGAAAAACCGCCAGCTGAGAGCCAAAAGATGTCGGGCCAAAAGACCGACCCATCAGACCACCACTCAACTTTCGGAGCGAGGGAATCAAATGGAGGTTGCAGAATCTGGTTCGGATCATTCCAATCAAGGCGGTGCTTAATGACCCCAATGGGGTGCTCCACGATCCCCAGAAGCCCAAAGTTGGGCCCATATTCATGGAGAGGGAGAGGGGGATGATCAGCATGATATCGCTCACAATCATGAACCAGGTGGGTTAAGGATTCTTTGACCTTGCCACAGAATCTGCAGAGGTCAGTCTGGTCAAGCTGGGCAGCGAAAATTCTGTCACGAGTCAACGTGCACCCAACCAACTGAGCAATAAAATGGCTCTCGACCAAGGGCTTGGATTCATGTTGAATCTTGGAATGCTTGCGAAGACCACAAGAAAGATCAAAATCCAAAATCCCCGTCGGTTGGCGAAAATCTTTGCGATGCTGACTAGCAGCTTCAAGGTAACATTTATGTCTCGAAAGGCGATGCAGTAGCGTTTTTATGTCTTTGGGGTGTACATCCCAGGCAGGCATGAGCAGCTTACCACTAAACGAAATAACCAAGTCCTTGGAGAGCTGAAGGCCGAAAAAGGAAAAGGCTTGAGAGACTCGAGTCAAGAAAGCAGTCTCCAACTCACAATGAGCTGCCGCCCATCTACACTTATCAAGGGCGTTGCCCGGCATACGAAGGAATCGCAAAAATTCCATGATCGTGTGATATGCTTTTGCACATGTCGGTTCATTCCTGTGTGGCTCAGACAGGAATGCCAAGACAAGGGCACGGGACCGCCAATGCGGCCTTCGGCCCCATAGCGCATGCACAATCTCCGACTGGAACTTTCTGGCAAATTCCTTGGGAATTTGGTTAAGGGAGGCAGCATAGCAAAACCTGGGAATGACCTTGGCACCAATGAAGAAACACTTGGTTTTCACAGGAAGCGGAAGGGCTTTAATATGTTTGATTTCCTTGATGATGGCGGTAACCTTCTTTTCTTCAAAATGAAAAGCCTGGCGTTTGGAGGTGGGAATTGAAGCACCAAGCACATCGATTTCAAGTTGAAGCAACATCTCAGGCCAAAGTTGCTTACAAACTTTTCTAGCCTTGGTGGAGGTCCCCCAAACAACACATTTCTTGTCATTGAGAAGCTGACCGGACAGTAAGTCCCAGAACCGTGTGGTTTCGACGGCATGGGCCAACACCTGGGCGTGTTCGAGTCGGGCCCAAAGGTATGCATCATCGATGTAAGCCATCGCTACCACTTCAGGAAGCAGGTTCATGAACACCACCCAGACCTTCGAGTAGACATTGATGGCTACGAGGGAGAAACTATCTCCTTGCGCAATTCCATTAGCAGCATGGGTAGCGACAGGTGAACACCAACTCTTAAATGAAAGATGACGGTGGAGGCCATCATACAGTTTGCTGAAAATGGAAACGATTTTACGATCAATCCCGAACGCCAGCATGAGACAGGAGGCAAAGGAAGGGATGATCCTGTCGAAGCACTTGGCTTTGTCCAATTTCAGTCCAATTAGGTCATACTCTTGGGCATTGGCGATGTCAATATCAAGTTTCAGCTGAGTCTGAATACAAGACATGCTGCGACCCTGGACTCCACCTACCAGTTGGGATGGCATGGAATTGATCTGCCAACCACGTAGCTGTCTAAATCTAGCTCCTGAATATGCCAGGTAAAGCACTGGAAGAACGGTTATGAGACGTTTCTGCATGGGATGCGAAGACCCATTCTTGTTCAAAATGATCTGCCTGGCACACGTCAGGGTTGGCGGCAACGGATCATCAGAGATCTCAAGCTCAGCGAAGATCTTGGCGAATGGACGAAAGCATACTGCAGGGAGCAGCTGCAATTCCTGAGTTCGCCAACCATCAAAACCCGGGGCCGCTCGGGAATTCCTAGCCTGAATCGTGGTCCACATAGCACGTTCATCAATTGGCTGACACTCAAATTGCTCAGCATGGTCACGGATGTAAGGCCAAATGACATCCAACATGCGAAGGGGGTGATCGGCTTGGATATTACAAGCAAAAACATCATCCCAGGCGTTATTGAAGGTGCTAATGGCCTGATTCGGATCTACGATGATGTTTCCTTCAGAATCTTGCAATAAGTTGGCCGGTTCTTCACAAGCACGGTTGCGAAGATGTTTGAAAATGAACTTGTTCCCACAACGAGCATCTTCTTGAATCTTCAGTCTCCAGCGATGGATGCGTGCCAGTTTGGTCTTGACATCGTAAGTACGAGCGGCATCTCCCACCCAGGAAAGGTTGGACCACACCTGCAACAAAGTTGGAACCGCCCCATGAGGCCATACCCATGGGGATTGAAGCTCAACTAACACCTTACGAAGTTTGAAACAAGTATTCAACGTGACCTGTGTGTCATGAAGGCCCCCTTGCAAACGAGAAAACCTGGCAAAAAGCTCTTGAAGTCCCCTGTATGCCCGACAGAATCTCGAAAGTTTATTCTTAGAGGCACCTCCAAACAAGTTCTGCCCCGGGCAGACACGTTTGGAGCGAAAGATCGGCGGCTGCCCACGAAGCTTAGGACCTTTACCCCAACGTGCACCATTCTGGAGGAGGAACGAGACACAATAGTCATTTGCGATCTTCCATTGGGAGTCCACATCTTCGGCATCATCAAAGGCCTGTGCAAAGGAGTCAGACCAAAGGGCGTCTGCATGTTGGCCAGTGAAGTGAGACTCCGAGGGGTTCGCTTGGCCAGTGTCAACACATAACGGAGCAGTGCGATGGTGAATGAAACCGGAGATAAAAATCCGGGGCCATGAACAAACAATCCTCAAAGGTCGATGTTGAGTTTCAAAGGAAGTCACCGTTTCCGTTCTAACAAGGGCCGCACACGTGACATGATTGAGGAGGATGGTATCAATGCTCGAACACCCTTCTTGACCGGAGAATGACCTATCCGATGAAAACGTGAGTTCACGGGACGGGAGCCCCTCAGCATCGAAGGAGAGGAAGGGATCCTCCCACTTGGCAAAATGGATTGCACTTGCAACAGCAGGGTAAGAAAGTGGCTCGGCTTGGAAGTCCCCCGCGATCACCACCGGCACGTCTCCAAATTGAGAGGAAATCTCGAAGATTTGTTCCAACACCCTATCGTTCCAAGCGTGGGGGTCTTGTTCGGAAGAGGCTCCAGTTCTACCGTAGAAGGACCAAATGAGGGCCCGGCCTCGAGACCTGGTGCCAAACCGCAGAAACTCTAGTGGATTCAAAAAGACCTTGGTATTGACCTGTGAGATCTTGAAGAGGATCAAAAGCTTGCGTGGTTTCGGGTGGAGCAAGGATCGCTGACCCTCCATGAGGTGTACGGGAAACACCATGGTTTGTAATGAGGCCCGGCAAGAGCTTAGACGGAAACAATTGGCGGCCTGTGGCTTGTACACGAAAGGTGGCATCACGGTGATTATTCCGACCTATACGTGGCTCTTGAACACAGATGACCGGGTCTTGTGCAGTTTGCCATTGCATCGTCGTACGGAGGGAACCAGTATTGTGCGAGAACAAGGACCATTCTTCAGAAGGACCATCCGCTGGAAAACCACACGTGGAATCGAATTGTGA